GTGGAACTTTGAACTTGAGGGAAATGACTTAGGATATCTGGCAGACACAATTTCTAAGCAGCAAAACATTCAAGAGGTGACTTTGGTGCTGTTAAAAGCATTTCGTTTTATATAAGGAGTAAGGAAAGGATCCAGTTTCAGCTTTCTACTTATGGCTAGCCAGTTTTTCCAGCACCATTTATTAAATAGGGAATCCTTTCCCCATTTCTTGTTTTTGTCAGGTTTGTCAAAGATCAGATGACTATAGATGTGTGGTACTATTTCTGAGGGGTCTGTTCTGTTCCATTGGTCTATATCTCTGTTTTGGTACCAGTACCATGCTGTTTTGGTTACTGTAGCCTTGTAGTATAGTTTGAAGTCAGGTAGCGTGATGCCTCCAGCTTTGTTCTTTTGGCTTGGATCCTTTCCTTACTCCTTATACGAAAATTAATTCAAGATGGATTAGAGACTTAAATGTTAGACCTAAAACCATAAAAACCCTAGAAGAAAACCTAGGTAATACCATTCAGGACATAGGCATGGGCAAGGACTTCATGTCTAAAACACCAAAAGCAACAGCAACAAAAGCCAAAATTGACAAATGGGATCTAATTAAACTAAAGAGCTTCTGCAAGCAAAAGAAACTACCATCAGAGTGAACAGGCAACCTACACGATGGGAGAAAATTTTTGCAATCTACTCATCTGACAAAGGGCTAATAACCAGAACCTATAAAGAACTCAATCAAATTTACAAGAAAAAAACAAACAACCCCATCAAAAAGTGGGCAAAGGATATGAACAGACACTTCTCAAAAGAAGACATTCATACAGCCAACAGACACATGAAAAAATGCTCATCATCACTGGCCATCAGAGAAATGCAAATCAAAACTACAATGATACCGTCTCACACCAGTTAGAATGGCAATCATTAAAAAGTCAGGAAACAACAGGTGCTGGAGAGGATGTGGAGAAACAGGAACACTTTTACACTGTTGGTGGGACTGTAAACTAGTTCAACCATTGTGGAAAACAGTGTGGCGATTCCTCAAGGATCTAGAACTAGAAATACCATTTGACCCAGCCATCCCATCACTGGGGATATACCCAAAGGATTATAAGTCATGCTGCTATAAAGACACATGCACACGTATGTTTATTGCGGCACTATTCACAATAGCAAAGACTTGGAATCAACCCAAATGTCCATCAGTGATAGACTGGATTAAGAAAATGTGGCATGTATACACCATGGAATACGATGCAGCCATAAAAAAGGATGAAGTCGTGTCCTTTGTAGGGACATGGATGCAGCTAGAAACCATCATTCTCAGCAAACTATCGCAAGAACAGAAAACCAAACACCTCATGTTCTCACTCATAGGTGGGAATTGAACAATGAGATCACCTGGACATGGGAAGGGGAACATCATACACCGGGTCCTATTGTGGGGGGTGAGGAGGGGGGAGGGATAGCATTAGGAGATATACCTAATGTAAATGACAAGTTAATGGGTGCAGCACACCAACATGGCACAAGTATACATATGTAACAAACCTGCACATTGTGCACATGTACCCTAGAAACCCTAGAACTTGAAGTATAATTTTTTTAAAAAAGCATTTGGTTTTAAAAGGGAAACAGCGCATAAAAGTTCAGAAAATTTTCAGCCTGATGATGCAGTCGAAAAGAAAAACCCATTTTCTGAGAAGAAATTCAAGCCTGCTGCACAAATTTGCAGAAGTAACAAGGAGACAAGACAATGGGGAAAATGTCTCCAGGGCATGTCAGAAACCTTCCTGAAGCCCATCACATCACAGACCAACAGGCCTAGGAGGAAAAAATGGCTGTGTGCAGCCTAGGGACTTGGTGCCCTGCATCCCAGACATGCTAGTCATGGCTAAAAGGGGCTAGGTACAGTTCAGGCCATGGCTTCAGAAGGTGCCAGCCCTAAGCCTAGGAGATTTCTGCAGAGTGTTGAGTCTGTGGGCGCACAGAAGTCAAGAATTGAGGTTTGGAACATCCGCCTAGATTTCAGAGGATGTATGAAACCACCTGGATGTCCAGGCAGAAATTTGCTGCTGGGGCAGAGCCCTCATGGACAACCTCTGCTAGGGTAGTATGGAAGCAAAACGTGGGGTTGAAACGCCCACACAGAGTCCCTACTGGGGTACTGCCTAGTGGAGCTGTGAGAAGAAGGCCACCGTCCTCCAGACCCCAGAATGGTAGATCCACTGAGAGCTTGCACCATGTGCCTGGAAAAGCAGCAGACACTCATTGCCAGTCCATGAAAGCAGTCAGGATGGAGGCCATACCCTGCAAAGCCACAGAGGCAGAGCTGCCCAAGATCATGGGAACCCACCTCTTACATCAGCATGACCTGGATGTGAGACATAGAGTCAAAGGAGATCAATTTGGAGCTTTAAGATTTGACTGCCATGCTGGATTTTTGACTTGCATGGGCCCTGTAACCCCTTTATTTGGCCAATTTCTCCCATTTGAAATGGCTGTATTTACCCAATGCCTGTACCCACATTGTATCTAGGAAATAACTAACTTGCTTTTGATTTCACAGACTCATAGGCAGAAGGGACTTGTCTTGTCTCAGATGAGATTTTGAACTGTGGACTTTTGAGTTAATGTGGAAATGAGTTAAGACTTTGAGGGACTGTTGGGAAGGCATGACTGGTTTTGAAATGTGAGAATATGAGATTTGGGAGGGGCCAGGGTGGAATGATATGGTTTGGCTGTATCCCCATCCAAATCTCATCTTAAATTGTAGCTCCCATAATTCCCACATGTTGTGAAATGAACCCGGTGAGAGAGAACTGAATCCTAGGGGCGGTTTTCCCTGTACCATTCTTGTGGTAGTGAATAAGTCTCATGAGATCTGATGGTTTTATAACGGAAAAATCCCTTTCGCTTGGATCTCATTCTCTCTCTTTGCTGGCCACTGTGTAAGACATCCCTTTACTCTTCTGCCATGATTGTGAGACCTCCCCAGCTATGTGGAACTGTGAGTCCATTAAACCTCTTTCCTTTATAAATTACTGAGTCTTGAGTATGTCTTTATTAGCAGCATGAGAACAGACTAATAAGGGTGATATTGCAAAAGTATTATCAAAGAAAGCATGATGGGGGAGTGGAGATTTGGAGAACATCCTCCTACTACTATTAGAAAAACAGCCTTTGGAAAAATAGCTCAAAAGAAGCCCTTGGTGAAGGATGATTTTCCAGAGTCACCTGTAGAGTTCTAGTTCCTCCCACACCATTGAGTCCCCTTTGAGAACTACTCTGGGAGGCTGAGCAATGACTCTGCAAAGAGAATTAACCATAAACTAAATAAGGACCTGTTGACATACACATATAACAGCTTGAGGGTGCTGTGGCGTGTGTGTGTGCATGTGTGCATGTGCACCATAGACAGAGTGAAGGAAATGCCTTGCTTTTCCTAACGAAAGGGTCTTAAGAAAACATCTGGTCCAACCTTATCCTAAATCCCTCCCTCCCCCCACCCTCCCAACATAAATCATAGATAAGACCATAGGGAATTAGAGAAGCAATTTGATTAGACTCAGGCCATAAATCAGTTGAAATAAACTCCAAGAAAGGGTCTTCTGGTATTTGTTTAATGTGCTGTTAACTCTAGCCCCACTTCATTACTAGATAGTATGTACAGCTTCAGAAGGAAAACACACACACACACAGGTGCCTTCTACAATTTCTCCATTCAAACTCGAAATGTAAGAGTAAGAATTATCACAAGAGCAATTGTCTTTCAGAAATCTAAATAAATAGCAAAAGAGCCCATCTCTTCTCAGTTTGCAGGATGAAGTTGTGACTCGTGTTATTAAGTAGTGTTTTATGGAATCAGAAGTCTCTGAATCCATGCTGTTGAACCTCTTTCTTGAATTAGCAAGAATTAACTGAATTAACTATATTAACTTGAATTAATTATAATTTAGGTCCCCAAATCTATGTATCATGCCTTCAATCTCAGGCCCGCATGTCTGGAGGCAGATGTTTGAATGGCAGCTCCTCTAGAGATAAGGTTAACGCACGTGCCTGAATTGGAAACATTTTGGCCTTGGTGCCAAGAATTTATTTCCCTTTCTATTTCTCTAGCTCTATGCAGTTTTAAAATTTGTTTTTAAACAATTTATAATAATGAAAGATCCTGCCTATTCTTTTTTTGAGACAGAGTCTCACTCTGTCACCAGGCTGGAGTGCACTGGTACGATCTCGGCTCTCTGCAACCTCCGCCTCCCAGGTTCAAGCGATTCTCCTGCCTCAGCCTCCCAGGTAGCTGGGATTACAGGCACCCGCCACCAGGCCTGGCTAATTTTTGTATTTTTAGTAGAGATGGGGTTTCACCCTCTTGGCCAGGATGGCCTCGATCTCCTGACCTCATGATCCGCCCACCTCGGCCTCCCAAAGTGCTGGGATTATAGGCATGAGCCACCGCACCAGACCAATCCTGCGTATTCTTATAGACAACACAACTCTGGAACTTAGGATGTAGTGAAGTTTAAATATAATTGGAATAGTAGTTTCTAGTGATTTCCTGACCCCAAATTGCCACATGTGGTTTAGAATTTTGCATCATGGACTTGTCCACTAGAAAAAAACAGCCCAACCAATTATAATAGAGACATGAGTTCAAGATTAACATCTTAATCCTACAGGGTGATGCCAAAGTAACTGTCATTTTGTCGAGCTACTAGAAAAAAAAGTAAAAGAACCCCTCAAATGACATTTTGACAAAAGACTGCCACAAGGAAACACCTTTTTTCCCCAAACAGAAATGCATAGGCTAGAAATACCATAATGTCCTAAAAATCAGTATTTAGGTGAGACTCAAACATCACATGACCAAGAAGCAAAATAATCTGTGGAGTCTCCCTCCCCTCTCCAAAATTACTGTAATCTCAATAGTCCTTACCCTAGCATTACTGAGATACAAAATTCATCAAATATCCAGTGATGACAGCCCTGATGGAGAGAGAGCAACAAGGTACCTGTCTGAAGAACTCCTCCAGGAGTGACATTGTCCAGCGATGATGGAGGTCCCACGCTTTTGCTGGATGGCTAATATCTGCTGTATGCAGCATAAGGGATAAGGCTTTTGGCTTTTCAATGCTGTAAACCAAAAGCACGCAAACACATGATGACCACACTCTTCAGAACCTCAATAAGAGTTTTTAAAAAATTATTAAGTTTTTAATCTCTGTTGCTCTTCCATCTCAAACCCCACTTCAGTTAAACTGAGGAAAAGACATCATTTCATCCTACAACTGGGATACTCATTAACTTGGTCTCCATATTTACAGAATTGGACTCTCTGGACTCAAATCCATTTCTGGGATGACTGCATCCTTCAAAAAGACAGCAAGAATCCAAGAGTAACTGACTTTTATGTGTTGCCTCTGCATTGGGGATCTCTGATAATTTAGTTTCCCACAGGGAATTATTTTAAATTCTCACTGGGGACAACTGATACTACCTCTATTATTTTTTCAACCCTGATGAAAACATACCTCATTGTGATAGGTACAACTTTTATGCTTTCTCCTTCAAACATCACCATTGCATGAGAACACTCTATAAAGTTGTGTTAAAGGAGATGCTCTTTAAAGGGATAGCCAGATGGACAAGGACCCATTTAAACACCTATACAAACACAAGCACAAGCCGCAAGCACACTTACGCTTCTGGCTGCTGCAGAGCAGTCTTCATTGCTTTGATTTGTTGGAAGTGACAAGACATATCCGTGGCCATCACCATTTCAATTACCAAGGTTCGAAACTCCCTTTTAGAGACAACCATGGAGGAAAAAGGATGGAAGTCAAAAATGGAAAACAAAAATCAGGGTTTTTTTTTTTGTTTTTGCCACTGGTAATCAAAATCAGTTAACTATTTCTGACATTTCTCATTTAATTTGGGTCTTTAAGGTGAGCTTTTTATTTGGAATAAATGAAAGCTAAGGATTAAGGAAATCATTTATGAGGAATATGATACATGGAATACACATATCATTTGGAAAATTAACTCACAGGAAAAAATTCAATGAAACTGAAAATTGTGTTAAAATGCTCTTTTCTCCAAATGAATACAGAGCTTTAAGAAAGAATTAACTTAAAAATAATCCTAGAAAGTAAATTGATAATCCATATTTCACGTTGGATACAGGTAGTCCATCGTTTTAAAAATAGCTTGATTTTTTAATAGAGTTTTAGGTTGACAGAAAAATTGAGCTTATAGTATAGCTAGTTCCCATATTACCTCTCTTCCTGCACAGTTTCCTTATTTTTAAAGTCTTGTGTTAATGTGGTGCATTTGTTACAACTAGTGAACCAATATTGACACATTATGTTAACTACAGTCCTTAGTCTATGTTAAAGTTCACCGGGCACATTGCACACTTCTACCAGTTTTGACAAATGCATAATGCCGTGTATCCACCATCACAGTATCCTTACAGAACAGATTCAGCACCCTAAAATCCCCTGTGCTCCTTCAATTCACCCCTCTCTCTTTTCCCTCACCCCTGCCAATCACTGATCCTTTTACTGTCTCTAAGAACTTTATTGAGGTATAATTTACATAGAATAAACTGCTGAAAATTTACATAAATTGCAGAATGTAAGGAGTTTAACAACTGAATAAGTTTTTGAAAATACCACTGTAATCATGATACCAAATATTTCCATCACCCTCAAATCTAGTCCCAGGCAAAGTTTGATCTGGCTCATGTCTATCTAAAACAGTTTGAATTTTCTAGTTTGATACATATGTATATAAAGTATACACATATATATTTAGTATATAATATAATATATATTTCAAATATTTAACATATATATTTCAATATTTATATATTATATACACACATATTTAATACATACATACACATATTTATTATATATATACATGTAGACATGCATATATACACACATATGTACCATATATTAAATATGTGTGTATATATGTACATATACATACATATATACACAAATTATTTTAAAATATAATGAATAATACATATATTATATACAGACATACACATTATATATTAACATAGATACTAGATATATACACACATGTTTCTGTGTATATACATAAACACATACACACATATATAAAATACAAAATGTACTCTTTCTTTACTCAGCATGATGATTTACAATTCGTCTATATAGTGGTTCATCAATAGTTCATTTTCTCTTATTGCAGAGTGGTATTCTATCATATCAGCATACCACAATTTGTAATCCATTTACCAGCTAGCAGACATTCGAGCTATCAGATTCTAGTTTGGGACTATTGTGAATAAAGCTACTATGGGTATTCATACATAAATCTTTGTGTAGACACATATGTTTTCATTAATCTGGGGTGAATACCTAGAAGCAGAATGACTGGTTTATAAGATAGCTGAGTGTTTATAAGAAACTGCCAGCCTGGCGTGGTGGCTCACGCCTGTAATCCCAACACTCTGGGAGGCCGAGGTGGGTGGATCACTTGAGGTCAGGAGTTCGAGACCAGCCTGACCAATATGGTGAAACCCCATCTCTACTAAAAATACAAAAATTAGCTGGGTGTTGTGGCGTGTGCCTGTAGTCCCAGCTACTCAGGGGGCTGAGACAGGAGAATTGCTTGAATCCAGGAGGCGGAAGTTGCAATGAGGTGAGATCACGCCACTGCACTCTAGCCTGGGTGACAGAGCGAGACTCCATCTTGGAAAAAAAAGAAAAGAAACTGCCAAATATTTTTCAAAGTGGTTGTATCACTTCACATTTGACCACTAGTGTCTAACATTTTCAGTTTTTCTTTGCCTACTCTAATCAGTCTTTAATTTCAGCCATTCTTCTGATGGATATGTAGTGGTATCTCATTGTAGTTTTAATCTACATTTCTTTGAATGACTAATTATGTCAGGCACATTTTCATGTACTTATATTCCATCTGTATACAATTTTTAGGGAAATGTCTGTTTCAAACCTTTCTCATTAAAAAATTGAATTGTTTTCTTATTATTGAATTATAAAAGTACCTTACACATTTTGGATTCAAAACATACGTAAAACGTAAGTGTTATGAATAATTTCTCCAATTTCTTGGCTTGCTTTTTTTTTTAACGGTGTCTTCCAAAGAGCGAAAGGTTTTAATTTTTATGAAGTTCGATTTATCATTTAAAAAATGCTTCATGCTTTTTCTGTCCTATCTGAGAAACCTCCATCTACTTCCAAGGACTTAACTGTTTTCCTCTGGAATTCTTGCCATTTTAGCTTTTATGTTTAGGTTTATAACCAATTTTGAGCTATTTTTTGAATATGGTATGTGATAAGGGTCAAAGTTATTTTTTCCCGTTGTTCCAAAACCATGTGTTGAAAATATTTTCTTTTCCCCATTGAATTAATTTGGCATCTTTGTCATAAATCAATTGATGAGTCAATTTCAAAACTCTGAATTCTGTCCCATAGGTATGTCCATCTTTCACCAATGAAATGCTGCCTTGAATACTGTAACTTAAGCATGCTTTGAATCAAGAAATATGAGTTCTCTGACCTTGTTCTTCATTTAAAAAGTATTATTGTGCATTTCCATATAAAGTTTATAATAATCGTAACAATTTCCAACATAATTCTGCTGGAATTTTGATTAGAATTGTATTGAAACAATACATAAATTTTGGAATATTTGACACCTTTACAATACTGAGTGTTCCACTACAAGATGACAGTATATCTCCCAATGTATTTAGGTCCTCTATAATCAGCAATGCTGTGTAATCTTTAGTGAGCATGAGTTGCACTTGTTTCTGAAAGTTACTACTAGTTTATATGTTTTGTGCTGTTGTAAAAAATTATTTTATTTTATTTTCCAATGGTTTGCTGCTAGTCTCTCTTTCCCTCTCTCTCTCTATATATAGATATATGTATATATGCATATATGTATATGTATAATGGTTTTTACACTAACCTTGTATTCTATGACCTTGCAAAATTCATTATGAGTTCCAGTAGCTCCTTTACAGATCCTTAGGATTTTCTACCTAGACAATCATGTCATTTGTTATTAACATCTTAACAATGTTGATGAATGTAAGATCAAGAATCTTTGTCTTGCTCCCAAGTCTTAGGGAAAAAACATTCAATATTTCACCATCAAGCTTGATGTTAGTTATAGGTTTTTCACATATGCCCTTTATCCAATTGAGGAAGTTCCCTTCTGTTTCTGGCTTGCTGAGAGTTTTTATCATGAATGAGTGTTGAATTTTGTCAACAAATGCTTGTTATGCATCTATTAAGATGACTGTATGATTTTCTGTTTGTTTTTAAATATGGTGAATTCTTTTAATTAATTTTTGAATGCAGAATTAATCTTGCATTCCTTGGATAAGCCCAATATATGAGTCAGGATTCTCCAGAGAAACCAATAGGATACACACATATAAAGAAAGAGATTTATTATAAGGAAGCGACTCATATAATCATGCAGGCTGACAAGTCCCAAGATCTGCAGGATAAATCAGCAAGCTGGAGATCCAGGACACCCAAAATTGTACTTCCAACTTGAAGGCTGACAGCTCAAGAACCAGGAAGAGCCACTGTTCTCGTTCAAAGACAGGCAGAAAGAATTCTCTTACTTGGGAGGGGGTCAGCCTTTTAGTTCTAGTTAGGCCTTCAACTGGTTGAATGAGGTCCACTCATGTTAGGAAGGGCAATCTGCTTTACTCAGTCTACCCTCTTATATGTTAATCCCATCCAAAAATGCCCTCACAGAAACAACAGAATAATGCTTGACCAAATATCTGTGCACACTGAGGCCCAGGTGAGTTGATACATAAAATTAACTATAACACATGATATATTATCTTCTTAGTATATTGTTATATTCAATTAGTTAATATTTTACTGAAAATTATTATAACTATGTTCATAAAATACATTAGTCTTTAATATTCCTTTTATGATTTTTTTTTGCCAGGGTATTTTGCATAGTATTTCTTCCTTCTCTAAATAAACTTGCATAAGATTGTTATTATCTGTTCTTTGCATATTTGATAGAATTCACCAGTTAAACTATCCAAGGATGGATATATCTTTGTGGGAATATTTTTGATGACAAAGTCAATTTTTTTAACAGACATAGGATTGTTCAGACTTTGTTTCATCTTGTGTGAGTTTTGGTAAGTTGTATTTTGCAAGGAATTTATCCACTTCATCAAAGTTGTCAAATTTATTGAGATAATGTTGTTTGTAACATTTTTTTATGTATTTCATATCTGTAGGATCTAATATTGGTACTTTGTGTTTTCTCCTTTTTATTGACCAGTCTAGACAGAAGGTTGTCAATCATGTTGCCCTTTTCAAAGAACAGCTTTAGCTCTGTTAATTTTTTTCTGTTTATTTTTTCTATTTTATTGATTTTTCCTCTTATCATTACTAATTTCTTCTATCCACTTTGAATTTACATTACTGTTTTGTTCTAGCTCCTGAAGTCATTGGGTTTGGAACTTTTTTCTTTCCTGCTATGAACATTTATAGCTGTAAATTTCCTCTAGGTGCTGTTTTAATAGTATTGCACACATTTTTAATATATTGCATTTTCATTCTTGATAAATTTGAAATGTTTCCTAGTTTCCTCTGATTACTTTTTGATCCACAAATTATTTAGAAGAGCGTTAATTTTCAAATGTACGAGATTTTCCTAGATATCTTATTCTTATTGATCTCTAATTTAAATCCATTAAGGTCAAAGAACATACTCTTAAAGCTTATGATATTTTAAAATTATTAAAACTTA